CCTGTTCTAACAGTATATGGCNGCCCTCATGGGTATGCTGTCTGGGCAATGCCCACGGGCCACTAGTTGCCGATCCCTGTTCTAACAGTATATGGCAGGCGATACTAAATCACTGTTCCTCCGTCTTTCGTTGCGAAGGGATGTAGATGTGAAAAAAATCCTCCATCAAAGCTGATAGGAGAACAAACAAATCTACCTTCTAATCTGAATAAGACAAAAACATTTGAAATTGTTTTATACTTAAAATTAGAAGCTGCAGTGTGTGTTATTTTTTTAAATTTATTTAGCTTCAGGTGATATAATGTAAGCCAACACAAACTCACAGGCCAATAGCAAACACATCTTCCCTGTTACAGAACTAGAAGCGCTAATCTTCAGCCCCATCAGCACATCGGTGAACTTTGCCTTTGTATYGAAAGCGAAGCACATTGTGTTCTGCTCTCTCCTTTGGGATCTTGGAGGAAATGAACTGCTACTCTTAGCTGGCTAATCTCTTTCCTCATTATTATTTATTGAATGTTCCCCTTCCCTTTATTTATGCTTTGGTATCTTTTTTTTTTGCCAATTAGCACAATTACAAGTATGCTGATTCAGTTGTGTATTATTCTTGCTGACAATTACTCTAATTTTAAAGCCGCTTTTTTTTTCCATTCTTTTTTCTTTTGAAGCAACTTTGTAAACAGAGGTCAAACTCAACCTGTTTCTTACATGCTGCTATTTTCTTTGACCACCCAGATTGGCCACAGTGCTTCAGTCACATGACGGTGGTAATCCTACTTGGGTCTGAATCGGCTCCTAAGCTCTCACACAGCAGATTAGTGAAGGAAAATACAGTGTAGGAGACTTTTAGAGGTGCAGGGATTTCCTTGCTTCTTGCAACTTCAGCTGTGGCTCATTGTTGGAGCATCTGTTCCTGCGCCACTCTGACCCCAGGTTACCTCACGGTCAATTCACCTGATGTCTTAGCAATGTAGCAAAAAATGTAATATTATTGATCAAGAATACAATAAATTTAAATAGCATACAGTTGTTTATCAAATTCTGACAGCTGTTTGGAAACAAAAAGAAAGTGAGTGAGTAAATTTGCAGGTGCATATACATAAAAGTCCAACATAAAAAGTAGAATTAAACATTAAAATAAAAACATTTTTAAAAATGTAAAAGTTGAATTTTCTGCTAAACTACAATGCAAACGCTGAGACATGCTAAAAGAGCAGACAAAGTTGTTGAAGCTAAATGAAGAAGCACACTGACTAAATAAACCTAAAAGTAAGAAAACACTAGTTAAAAGACGCAAAAGGCTAACAACTATGGTAGCTAGGAGGTAAAACAACAAAAGGCCAGCTAAAAACAAATGAAACAAAATGCTAACTAAAACTTGCAAAAGTTTTGTTAAAATCTAAAATGGAATGGTAACTAAAAGCAGTAAAATACTAGCTAAAAGTACCAGAACAGTAGCTAAAAGTAGCAAAAGATCTAAACAAAAGTAACAAAATGGCATTAGAATTTAATTTAAAATAATGAAAAAAATTGGAAGATGAAATAAAATAAAACCATTTTTTTTTTTTTACAAAAGAGAGGTGAATTTAATAGTGGTACGCATTTTTACTTCAACTTTCCTTTTCTAATCGAAAAATTACACTTGGTTATTGCTCCTACAGTTGTGTAAGAGTTGTGCAATAGAAAAAGTGACGTGAATATTTGCCAGTAAACAACACCAATATTTTTGTGTCTGTGTGTGTGTGTGTGTGTGTGGGGGGGGGGGACTAGGAGAGGAGTTTTAGAGCCTAATGGCCGTGTAGAGGAAATATTTCCTGTTGCGTTCTGAGGAACTCTAAGCTGATCAGTTTGCCACCAAAAGTGCTTTTCTGATGAACCGAGATGGTGATGAGGGTTATTAACTGAGCCCTGGACAATGTTCTGTGGTTGTGTTGTTTTCAAGGTTTGGATCAGTTAAACATCCTGGCGTCTGCTACTTTTACACTGGATAGAAGATGATAACTGTCTCACTGGACACCTGCAGCATGTTGTTGCTGACAACAAGGATCTGAGTGTTCACAGGAAGTCCCGTTGACTCTGACAGCTTTGTACGAGTTCTTTCACCAATCCAGCCCACATGGCAGACTGGTGTGGGCCAGATCTGGCGTCAAGCTGTTGCTGCTGGATGACTGTTGAAATGGTGTTTTGTCAACTGGATGAGGGCCAGGTCTGGTAATGATGACACCGTTTTTAAGATGGTGTGCCACAACTGGTTTGGTTTATGTGGTGGCCCATGCATTGGCAAACCACATCTGGGCCATCAAAGGGCCATCATTCTTTGCGGAATCTGGGTCGATTGTTAGAGTGTTTAGTGCTCTGCGTGGGCCAGAACTGGGCCAGATAAAATTTTGTTATGTGGGAATTTACTCAACTTCGACTCCATTAATGGACAGGAACCACCAGGTTTTTAGTTTTGTTGATTTTGAGAGGCAGCTGATTTAGATCTCACCACTCAATAATACTGTCCAGCATCATCCTAGTTGAGTGTTTATTGTTATTGCTATTATTATTATTATTGCTGTTTTTTTGTGCCACAGTTTAAAAAATGTCCATTTCCATTTGACAACTCTAAGAAAGAGCTCATATGATTTAGAATCCTTTTACATTCAGTAGCAATAGGTTAATAATGGAATTTATTGCATTGGACAGAAAGAGCAAAAGAGTTGCTGAGCAGATGCAGTTAGAACATACAAAGAACTGTTTTTGTGCATATGTGTCTAAGAATATATTCTTCAATCCACAGTGTCACAGAGCCATCAGATACCACAGCAGATACTCCAGATAAAACAGCTGCCAACCATGCAGCCACGCTGAAACACATGGATTCCAAATTAAAAATAGAGCTTTCGTCTTGTCTTGTGCCGACTGATGTGCATAATTATGAGTCTGTGTGCTCTTCATATGCATGGGCAGCAATCCCATTACCGTAATGGAAACAATGAAGGGTTATCAGGAAGCGCCCACGGTAACCTGGTCTCCGTGGTAAAATGAATGTCTGTTGCTCATATCCTCTAATGATGGCTTGTATTTGTAAGCCATATTTCCCTGCTGTTGCTTATTGTTTCAACGAGTGAGTGACTCACCTTAATTCCCAAAAGTAACACGAATCGGTTATATCGTCGGAGCTGTTTATTGTCAGCGTAAACCGTTTTTATGAGGTAATGATCAGGAAATGAAATTATTAGTGAGGATACGTGCCATTGCAATGTATGCATAAAAAAAACAATTGCCGTGGTTCATGTTACTTTATGTTTAAAAAAAGAATATTTCTCTTGGCTCAGTTTAAACTGCTTGATGATTATGCAGGTAAACAACCACAAATGGTGTCAGATGCATGTTTGATCTAATGTGAGTGTTGATCAATCGCCGTTCACATTTAGTTTTTTGAAAGGGAACGCGAGGTGGGATATATAACTTGATTAGCTGTTGATGTAGAGACAAATAAAAATAATAACTAGTGGATCAAGAAATGTTTAAATTAGGAGGGCATTTCTAAATAAAAGAAGGGCCCAGTTCATTTTCATCCACCACAATATTTAAAACTTACTGCAAAATAAATAAGCTGACCATTTCTTTCTGAAAGTTACTATTATGATCTGTTAGAAATAACTTATAAGTGCCATTGTATCTTCAAACTTATATTTTTCTTTTGCTGTAAAAATGCTGCAAGACCCTGTTTTTGTCTTTGCTGAGTAAGAATATTTGTGACATCAAACTGAGGATTAAGTCCTAAAGTAGTGTGGAAGTAGTTATAGTGCATTACTTAAAAATATTTGCAATAATTGCATTTTGTCAAAGGATAGTAAATGAATACCTGTCTATGTGAAATTTAAACAAAATATCTGGAATGTAATCTTAAATAATTTCTTTCATGCCCTTTTTTTGAGCAGTGGCCACAAAAAACATGATTTAAAAAAAAACTTTGGGTTATTTTTTTTGTCATTTCCCTTGCCAAGTTTTTTTTTTTCAGCAGGTAAATATCCAAATACTGTTTGAGGTTTCCACTTTTAAATGACATTAAAATGTCCTCCTTAGAATAACTTAAAAATAGGCTTCAGACCAAATATCAGTGGTTTATCCTGATGAGGAAGGCAAATCAAGCTATACAGGTGCTGGTCATAAAATTAGAATATCATGAAAAAGTAGATTTATTTCAGTAATTCC